GACCTGCAGAGGGAGGGGACGGGAGGTTCGGGGACTGGGCAGCGGGCTGGGCCGGGCACCTGAGGAGGGAGGCAGGGATGCTGCCCTGGTTCCGGGAGGGGACATGTCCAGGACCCAGAATGGGTGAGTGCCGAGCCCCGAGGCCCCGGGCCGGAGCAGGGGGTGGCGCAGCCCCTCCCGGTGGACGCTCAGAGGAGCAGGGAGCAGATGTGTCCGCGGCTGCCCGGGCGCAGCTCCCATCTGGGCGAGAGTGTCAGTTGAGCAAGGAGCAGGAGGTGGATAAATATTTGTTCAATGGATCCATCGAGCGCGGGGCGGGGGGCGGGGGCCTGGGCTGCTCGCTGCCTGTGCGTCTGCAGGGTCCCTGGAGCTGGACGACCAGTGGCCATCAGAGGCCTGGGGGTGTGCCCTGGGGGAGGGCACACGGGTGGTGTGGGCCTCGGGGTGTGAGCACATGGTGCCCAGCCCGCCCGGCTCCGCCGTGTCTCCACAGGCGCCATGGAGGCCCCTTGGCGGTGGCTGGTGGTCTGTGTGCTGGCCGTGTCCCTGCCCTGGACAGTGACCGAGAATGTGTGCCGAGCACCCAATGGGAAGGACGGGGCTGCGGGGAAACCTGGCCGACCCGGGCGGCCGGGCCTCAAGGGCGAGCGAGGGGAACCGGGTAAGCAGCTTCTTCTGGACCCTCAGCCAGTGGCCAGGCCTCCAGGTGCGGGCTCGGGTGGCCCCGAGAAGCAGAGGTCCACTTGGGCCCCCCCAGGAAGCCCTCTGGTTTGCACTTTGCCCCAAGGGCCGGGTGCCTAGCCTTCCATATGGGCCAGATCCCAGACCTGCCAAGACCTTCCTCCTCTGGATAATGAGCTGCTTCGAGCCATGAAAGTGAAGGTTCTGAAGCAGTGCACGACCTCAGTCACTGTTCAGATACCAGAGTGAACAGGCCCCGGATTTCAGGCTCAGGAGCCACTGCCTTGCTGTGTGACCTCAAGCAAGTCACCGACCCTCTCTGAGCCTCAGTTTCCTCATCTGTAAAATGGAGACATAATCCTGCCTGGCACATTGAGAGGGATCAGTGAACAGGGAGGATGGAAACGGGAGGGGGGAGGAGAGTCTCATCGCGTCCTGCTGCTGTGTCCGTCCCCAGTGGAGCAGAAGGATCGGCAGAGACTCTGGCATTAGTTTGTATCCAGGAATCTACACAAGGTCCCCAAACCTGAGGAAGAAGGGGTCAGAGGCCTGGAGGGGTGTGGGGTGCACAGATGTGGGTGGGAACAGGAGCAGCCAGAGTGTCCTCGGTCCCAGAGCCCACGCTGTCCCAAGGCCAGTTCAGGCTTCTCTCCATTTCACAGAAGCAGCCGAGGCTCAGGGGGATCGAGACACCAGCCCAAGGTCACACAGCCCTCGGGGATCGCCTTGAAGGTGCGGGCTTTCCCGCCTCGTCTCGCAGCTCCCCGAGGCTCCAGCCCTCCCCTGGGGCAGGCCCTGGACGCTGACCCTGGGCTCCTCTTCCCCGTAGGAGCCCCTGGCATCAGGACAGGCATCCGGGGCCTTAAAGGAGACCCCGGGGAGCCTGGGCTCCCTGGAAAGCCGGGCATGATGGGCTACCCAGGGCCCAACGGCCTCCCTGGGGACCGTGGCCTGCCAGGACAGAAGGGCATCAAGGGCAACCCAGGAAACATCAAGGACCAGCCGCGGCCGGCCTTCTCGGCCATCAGGCGGAACCCGCCGGCGGGCGGCAACGTGGTCATCTTCGACACGGTCATCACCAACCAGGAGAGCCCCTACCAGAGCCACTCGGGCCAGTTCCTGTGCGCCGTGCCCGGCTACTACTACTTCACCTTCCAGGTGGTCTCCAAGTGGGACATCTGCCTGACCATCGTGTCCTCCTCCCGGGGCCAGGTGCGGCGCACCCTGGGCTTCTGCGACACCAACGGGAAGGGGCTGTTCCAGGTGGTGTCGGGGGGCACGGTGCTGCACCTGAACCACGGCGACCAGGTCTGGATCGAGAAGGACCCCGCCAAGGGCCGCATCTACCAGGGCCCCGAGGCCGACAGCATCTTCAGCGGCTTCCTCATCTTCCCGTCCCCCTGAGCCGCCCTCCCGGCCCTCCCTGTGTCCTGCTCTTGGCCACCGTCCCCCCCGGGCCGCTTCTCTGCCCCTTCCTGGAATAAAGATCTGAGTCTGTCTGCGGGGCTTGAGGTCCAGTCGCCGCTCCGGGCACTGGGGAGGTGGCCGCCTGTCCAGCGTTTCCCGCTGTGTTTAGCGGGTCCCAGGAGCCGCCCCAGCCGGGCTCCAATCTCGGTGCCAACGCTCACCCCTGCCGGGTCGTCCGCAGGCCGGGTGACTTCTGCACCTCAGTGTCCTGTCTGTAAGGTGGGGCTGATGATGGCACCTACCTCAAAGGCTGGGAGAGTAAGTGACCTGCTGTCAGGCCTGCAGCCAGCGCCCGGGTGAGTCACCTCGTCTGGTCTCTCAATAAACATTCCCGTCAGGGCTGCAGGGCTGCAGAGCTGCGAGCTATCGTCTGTTGTGCCATCTTGTGGGTCAGGCTCCAGGTGCGAGTCACGACCCACTTTACAGGCGATGAAATGGGCCCTGGCAAGGGCTTGGAGCCCCAGGGCGGGATCTAAGGGAGGGGCTGGAATCGAGCCCGAGTCCCACTGCCACCCAAGCCCAAGGGCACCCTCCCCAGACCCTACAGCCTCCCAGACCCTGCAGCCTCCCAGACCCTACAGCCTCCCAGATCTACAGCCTCCTGACCCTACAGCCTCCCAGACCCTACACCCTCCCCAGACCCTACAGCCTCCTGACCCTACAGCCTCCCAGACCCTACAGCCTCCCAGACCCTACAGCCTCCCCAGACCCTACAGCCTCCCCAGACCTACAGCCTCCCAGACCTACAGCCTCCCAGACCCTACAGCCTCCCAGACCTACAGCCTCCCAGACCTACAGCCTCCCAGACCTACAGCCTCCCAGACCTACAGCCTCCCAGACCCTACAGCCTCCCGACCCTACAGCTGGGCTGCACACTCACACAGTGCTTTCCCACCCCTGGCTGGGGCAGAATCAGAGAAGGGAGACAGCCAGTCCTGGGACGCCCAGCACTCCCCCAGGCTAGGACTCCTGGGTCTGGCCCCGGGTTCCCTCCCAGCGGGTGAGCAGCCTGGGTTTCTGGGCATCTGCCCGGGCTGGGGACCTGGAGGACCCTGGATGCTCATGTGCTTCCCCAGGGCCCCACAGAAAGCCACCCACTCCCAAGGAAACGTGGGTCCAGCGCACACCCTCGCACACCCTGGGAGACACCCACACTTGTGACTTCACACCCGTGTGCACTTGGGGGGACACATCTCTCCCACCACTTAGCTCCCGCCTCCGACCTCCAAGGAACCTTCGTGAACCACCCAAGATGCATTTTCTGTCTCGCGCACACAGGCGCACACCCCCGGGGACGCGTGGCCCAGACACACCGACACCCACATCACCCTCCGGCCCCATCACGCACAGGGCGGGGGCAGCCCCGAGCTCTCCACCCTGACCCCGACACGCGATTCCACACAGCTGTCCTCAGAGACCCTGGAGTGTCCCCCGTCCCTCACTGCCACCAGTGGTCCCCCGCTCAGGACCCTGCATGGTCGGCCCGTGTCCCCACCTGTCGGAACCCGCTGCCCACAGGCTGGGGGAGGCCGCTCTGGGTGCCCACCCCGCCCTGGGCATCTTACAGCCACGGGGGCGTGGAACCCCGCAGACGAGGCCCGGACCCGAGCCCAGTGACGGTGCTTAAGGTCACTCCTGGACAGAGCGGGGCCTAGGTACAGCCCCCCTGCCGCACCCCAAAGTGCCAAAGTCCTGTCACCGCCTCCGCCCAGGCCAGCGGGTGGGGCAGGAGCGGGCCGAGCGCGGGCCGAGGCTGCCACCTGCTGGACAAAGAGGACCTGGGCGCCCAGGGGGCGAGGACAGCAGCTGCAGCCCAGGGCCCGCGGGGGGCTGGGTTGTCCCCCACCCCATGGGCAGGGCCCACCTCTTATGCCCCCCCAGACCTCCACCCGCAGGGGGCTCTCGGGGCCAAGTGCTTCACCTCTGTCCAGGCTGGGTGGCCTGGGCCACAGGACAGAGGTCCAGGTGGAGCCCGAGGCCCTGAGGGAGGACGCTGAACTCCTGCTGTCCCCGACCACGTCCTCACCGCGGCCTGCGTGGAGCCGCTGCAAGTCCTCATTCTGGGGTGGGCGGCAGGAGAGGGGCCATGACTGGACCCCACCCACCCAGGCCCCTGGCCGGAGGCCGGCAGGAGGCAGTGGGAAGGGGGGATCCAGGGGACCCGGGAAAGGAAGAGCAGTGACCCCAAAGCCTGGGTCCCCCAGAGTCAGGGGGAGGTGGGGTTCACGAAGGCCTCCGCGCCCGAGTGCAGGGCGGGCAGGGGAAGCCACAGCCGCTGACCGGAGCCAGGGCCGGGCACTCAGCACTGCTGGCTCCTCCTGGGTGTCCACCCCCAAGCGCAGCGACCCCGTGGGCCATGGATGTTTCTAGAACCAGGCGCGCACCTGACAAGTGCATGTCGGACTGCATGTGTGGTGGTGGCCGAGCAGCGGGTGGGCGCTGAGCCCCAGAGAACACTCGGGTGGACGAGGGGCCCGGGCATCGGCCTCCCTGGGCCTCAGTGTCCTCGTCGGTGAGGGGACAGTCACTCCCCCTCGGTGATGCCAACCAGCTAAGCCTCAGGCACCGTGCAGGCCACAGAGGGGACCGGACACTGGGTGGGCCAACCTGACCCCAGGGACATCTGTGCCCTGGGGACGTCATTCACTTCCCCATTTCAGACACTCATGACCAGGTGTAGGCGGAAGGGGGTGGGGGTCACTGTGGTCAGCCTGGCTGGAACTCGAGAAAGTGTCACGTCAGGGAAAATGACAAGAAAAGGGGATGTGGGACAGGGAGCGGTGGGGGGGAGGGGAGCGACGGGGGAGGGGACCCCAGCTCTGCCCTGGGCCATCCTGCTCTGTCCACTCTGACGCGGTGTCCTCCGCTCTGCGAGAGGGAAGAGGGCTGAGGACCTCTGTGACCAGGCCAGAAGCCTCCCGGCCCCAGGCGCACAGGTGAGGGCGAGGGCGACTCTCCTGGACGGCTGGGCTGGGGGGCGGGAGGTCCACCCTGCTGAGCCCAGGCCTGGCTGCAGCAGAGGCCAGCTCCCACCCGCCATCGCGGTCCCTCCTTGGAGGGAGTGAGCTGAGCACCAGGAGGGCGGGAAGGCAGGGCCCGGGGCCACTCCACCCTCCCCACCCGCTCCCTCCCCAGGATGGACGCGGGCCCCGGCTGCAGGGGCCTCCTGGGACTCTGCCTGCTGCTGCTCCTGCTGGCGCGGCCACTGCGGGGACAGTCCAGCCCCAGCTGCTACGGGATCCCGGGGATGCCAGGCCTGCCGGGGGCCCCTGGGAAGGACGGACATGACGGGCTGCAGGGCCCCAAGGGCGAGCCCGGTGAGTCTGTGGTCCCCAGGGCCACCTGGGGCTGGGCTCGTCCCCTCACCTGACTCCTCACTGTCCTCATCCCACAGTAGGGAGGGCGCCCCTGTCCCTGCAGGTGGCAGGCGCTCAGAGGCCATGTCCGACGGCCTTGGAACCCTCCCAGCTGCCCACTAGTGTCACAGCCCCCCACTGCCCCGCTGCCTGTGGGTGACACCCGGGGAAGGGGGCCCACGCGGGGGAGGTGCGAGGCACCAGCTGCCCAGTCCAAGCCCAAGGGCACCGCTGCCCTCCGTGGGCACACCCGCAGCCCCAGCCTTGGGCGCCAACAGGGAGGAGTGGGCATCCCCTCACCTGGGGGATGAGGTCACGTGGGTGGGGGTGTCCAGGCGGAGGCCAGGTGGGGCATTGTCTTGGGGGACTGAGCTGGCCACCTCCCGGGGTGCTGGAGGGATGGAGAGGGAGGGGACCGGGACCGCAGCCTCCTCTGCTGGAGGCTCAGGCACAGCCCTTCAGAGAAGGGGCGGAGGACGGGGTGGGCGCTGGCCTTGGGCCCCGTACAGGGGGGCGCCCTGCGGGGAGCTGAGCATGTGAAGCCAGGGTCCTGGGCAGAGCTCCTTCCTGGAGGGGCAGATGGAGGGGGCTGGTGGAAAGAGCCCTTTGCCTTTCCCAAGGTTAGAATTGTTAGCTCTGTCCTGCAGGTGAGGAAACTGGGCCAAAACCCCCTTGAAAATGTGATCTACTCCCACTTTGCAAATGTCAGAGCTGGGGTTCAGAGAGGTTGATCAACTCACCCCGAGTCACACAGCAGAATCCTATCCACACCCTTAACCTTTTGAGCCTCTCTCCACTGCTGCTTCCTGTCCCTGCCCAATGGATGCTTGGCTGGGAGCCAGCCCTGCCCAGCACCACTGGCTTCCCCACGACCCGGGTCCCCTGGACACTTGTGTCCACCGTGTCTGGCACTGTGCCCAGCACCTTTCAAGCTGTGCTCCCTGGCTCCATTCTGCCAGCCTCTCTGGGCTCTGTTCCCTTATGCTCTTATCTCAACTGAGCAAACAGGCTCAGAGAGGGGAGGTCACCTGCCCAGTGTCACACAGCCTGAGCCCCGTCTGCTGGGTCCTGGCCCCACTCTCCTGACCCTGGGACCTAAAAGGTCCACACGCCATAGAGTTACAGACATGTAGCCCTGGGAAAGCAGAGGAGGAAAAGAGCCGTGATGGCCAGCAGGCGTGAGCACGGAGGGCTTCTGGAAGAGGAGACTCTAGAGATCGACCTATGAAGTGGGAAGGTCTTGGCCGCGGTTTCCTCCGCTGCGACTCGAGGGAACTGAACCAGGCCACGTGTCCCAAGGGCTGAGGTGGGCTGAGCGGCTCGGGTGACTGGACAAGCTTCTGTCACTCCACCCGGGACTTGCCTGTGCTCACCACCGGGGTCAGGCTCAGGGGTGCGAACCCTGCAGCTGGTGAAAGTCCAGGTCCCTCCTAAGAAAAGTCACGCAGAGTGACAGACGTGCCCCTCAGCAGGGAGGACGGTGGGTGCAGAAACCTGCCCCCGACACAGCTGTACTAGAACCACACACGCGTGGGGGCGAGCACCCGAGCTGGCAGCCTGGGTCCTGATGCCCACCTCCCAGCTCTGAGGTCCCCTTCACTACACAGCACGTGCCGCTGGGGAAAGTGAGGCCGAGGGCGCGTGGGGCCTCTGTCCCTACTCTGATTTCCGAACACAAGGTTGAAGGTATAGTATACCTACAGAACTAGGTAAAGGCCTGGAAGCTGCCTCTCGCTGGTCTTCTGATTTTTGTCAAGAAACACTAGGAGCTGGGTGCAGTGGTGCACCCCTGTCCTCCCAGCCGCTGGGGAGGCTGAGGCAGGAGGATCGAGAGTTCAAAGCCAGCCTCAGCAAAGTGAGGCCCTAAGCAACTCAGGGAGACCCTGTCTCTAAATAAAATACAAAACAGGGCTGGGGATGGGGCTCAGAGGTTGAGTGCCCCTGAGTTCAATCCCTGGTACCAAACCAAAAAGAAAGAAAAGAAAAAAGAAAAAGAAAGACAGAAAGACCAGGGACCTAGACTTTAGGTGAGCTCCAGATTTGCGCCGTTCGCTGCTGTGATTTAAACTTGGAAAGCTCCGTGCAGGCCCCACAGGGTGTCCGTGGCCACCTGCTGCGCCTGCTGTCAGGGTGCCTGACGTCCGGTAGGGCTGGGACACCTCCCGGGTCCATCGAGTCCGACCCTCTCCATCACAGATGAGGAAACTACCCCAGGCCAGGGCCCACTTCCAGTGGACATCCATCTGGGCAGGACACCCCAGGGTACCCTGCCCTGACCCCCACGTCCTACCCACCTGCTCTCTCCCCAGGAATCCCAGCCATCCCTGGCACCCGAGGACCCAAGGGCCAGAAGGGCGAGCCGGGCCCAGCCGGCTACCCCGGGAAGAACGGCCCCATGGGACCCCCTGGGGCGCCGGGGGACCGCGGCCCCAGTGGGCTTCCCGGGGAGCCCGGGGAGGAGGGCAGGTACAAGCAGAAGCACCAGTCGGTGTTCACGGTCACCCGGCAGACCTCCCAGTACCCGGCGGCCAACGGCCTGGTCAGGTTCAACACGGTGGTCACCAACCCGCAGGGGGACTATGACACGGGCACGGGCAAGTTCACCTGCAAGGTGCCCGGGCTCTACTACTTCGTCTACCACACGTCGCACACGGCCAACCTGTGCGTGGTGCTCTACCGCAGCGGCGTCAAGGTGACCACCTTCTGCGACCACATGTCCAACAGCCGGCAGGTCAGCTCGGGCGGCGTGCTGCTGCACCTGCAGGCGGGCGAGCAGGTGTGGCTGGCCGTCAACGACTACAACGGCCTGGTGGGCACCGAGGGCTCCGACAGCGTCTTCTCGGGCTTCCTGCTCTTCCCCGACTAGCCGCCGGCCGGTGGACTCCTCCTCCAGGAAGCCCACCCTGACTCCCCACCCCGCCCTCCTGTCCCCTCCCCCTCTGAGCTCCTCTCGGGGCCACTGCTTGTCCCGTTCCTGAACCAGTACCTCCTGGGACCGTCATTCATTTTTATCTGTTCAGGTCTTGGAAGAGGGGGGGATGGACGAATAAATAATTAGACCCCTACGTCGGCGTGGCCCCGGTCCCTCTCGGTGACACCATGAACTTGGCCTGTTCCGCTTCGCATCTGCCGCAGCTGCCCGCGGGCTCTGGCCGTGGGGTGTCCGGGGGGTGCTCAGCACCAGCTGTGACCCCCAGCACCATCTGGCCTGGTGGAGGGGGGTGTTCAAGTGTGGTCACAGGCCACCAGAGGTCCCCCAGGGGCAGCACTGAGTGCGGGAGGAGTTGGGGCTGGCAGTGCGCCCACGAGGCAGGCAGCAGCCTGCGTCCATGCAGAGGGATGAGGGAGCCGCGGGGGTCCTGCCAGCTAGACCCCGGGGGCTTGGCGCACACCAGGCCTGCGCAGGAGCGTCAGCACGTGGACGCCTCTGGGCCTCGCAGCCACGTGCTGAGACGGGCGTGAGTGGGTGAGAGAGGACTGAGTCACCCCAAATGATCACAGACTCCAGGGCCCCCCAAGAGGTCATCTAAAGACACTGCTGCCCGCTGCCTCCAGGTTTTGGAGGTGGGTTGCTGGGCTCAGCGGCCCGGGTCAGGGACGCTGCAGAAAGGTCAGAAGTCGGGCTTCCCTGGGCAGCCCTCAGGTCCGGGCCTTGGAGCGCAGCGAGCCGTGAGGCTGACCGGGCCCAGGGGAACCTGGCTGGGGTCTCGTTCTGGTTCCATGAGGCCCACGGACCGCAGAGTGGCATCACTGAGGGGCAGTGAGAGTGAATTCTGCAGCCCCCTGTGTCCACCTGGGCCGCCGGTTCTGACAGCCCGTTCCACACGTCCACGCCTTGCCCCTGCTGTCCTCCGTCCTGTAGAGCCCCACCCTCACACACATGGCCCATCCACGCGGACAGGATGCCTCCCCCAGGTCACCTCCTCCAGGAAGGCCTCCCAGGTCCCCACGTCCCCACAGCACTCTCTGCAGACTGGGACCACAAACTCAGGACCCTTCAGAGGCCAGGTCCCCTCGTCTGCCAGCAAATAAGATCCACCTGGGGACTTGCTGCAAACCAAGCCGGGTCCGCGGACCCTCGCAGCCTCCTGGGGGTTTGGGAAGATGGGGCCGTGGTGAGTGGCGGGCGGCGGGTGAATGCCACCACCTGGGACCTGAGGGGTGGGAGAAGGGACAGAGAAGGACACGCACACACAGAACCCAGGGGTCCGGGTGCCTCGGCAGGGCCAGCCTGGGTCACCGGCCACGCGTTCAGTGTCCCACCGTCAGCCACTTAGTGGTTCACCCCGTGATGCTGGTGGAGACACGTCGTTCTTGTCGTTTCTCTTTTGTTTAAAACAATCGATGACCGTCACATGGCCAGTGTCGGAGCAGAGCCCGGCGCTGGGAGGCGAGCCCGTGTGGCCTCGGGTCCCCATAACTGCCTCCTGTCCCCTCTTGGACGGAGAGATGGGCCGCGGAAGGCTCCGCCACGTCCACCACGTTGGTGGCGGGCAGGGGCCTTGGCACGTTGGGCAAGAGGTGGGAGGACTCGGCAGGAAGCGGGGTGCCCCAGGCTGCACCCCCAGCTTTCCGACCAGGGGGCTGAGGGGCTGAGGCTCCTTATTCTGCTCTTGGCCGGGTCCCCCCTTAACAGGGTGTGGCGCAGCCACTTGATGGGCACAGAGACCAGCTGCCCTCAGGGGTCACGTCCAGGGAGCCCCAGCCCCGACCCCACGCCCAGGCCTCCCACAGGACTCCGAGAACCGCGTCCCTCCTCCACATGAGCTTCCCGGGCCTCCTGGGCTTGTGGGGTCTCCTCCCCGCTCCCACCAACAGCCCCCGGAGCGCGACACCCAGGCCCACGGCGTGGAGAGGAGGGCACTGGGCTGGGCCACGCGCCCGAGCCACGCGGTCAGAAGAGGCCCAGCTGGGACTCGAGCCCAGAGCGCCCGACGCCGGCCCTGCTGTTGCCACCCAAGTCCAATCCCACCTTTCCCGGGGCCATCGACCACCCAGGCTCAAGTGCCCCTGGGCGCCCCTGGATTCTCCAAGCGCAGATGTCACGGGGCCCCAGCTCCTGCACTGGCCGGGTCACTGTCCCCGAGCGGGGTGCCTCGTGGCACACTGAGGCTGCTGGCGTCCCGGTGCCTGGCCAAGGCCTTCATCCCTCCTAGGTGGGGTGTGGGCTCTGGCCGTCACTGCTTTTTTTGGTGACATTTCTCACAGGAACAAAAAGCCTTGTGTCACTTGATGTTTAACATGGCTCCGTGGGGACCGTGGCCGGCTCAGAGAGAGGAGGGAACGTGTTCAAGTGACGCCTCCCCTGGGGACCCCGTCTCCCTGCAAGTGAAACGTGGGGGACGGGTAACCGAGGCCTCTCGAGCCAGCCTGGGTCCACTTTAGGATCCACAAGGGCACCTGCCTGTGGCCATCGCTGTCACCAGCTCTGAGTCGGGCTCGAGGTGGGGGGCATACAGAAGTCGGGAGCGGGTTTCTCCGACTGCTCTTGGAGAATGGGAAGGGGACGGGGCCGAGGATGGGAAGGGAGCAGGGACGAGCCCTCCTCCGTCACCCCACCCGTCACCCTGGTGGCCGTCACCCTGGTGGCCGGGAGACCCCAGGGCGGGCTGATTGCGGTCCCATCCTAGAGCGGAGGAGGTGGCGCTCCGCCGGGCTGTCAGCCTGGGGTGGGCACCGCGGGGCCAGAACACAGACCTGTTGGGCACCAGGCGTTCCCCTGGGGTGACCGTGGGGCCCCTCGGAAGCCCATGAGCTCAGGGGCCTGGCAGGTGGCCGCCCGCTGCGGTCACTCGCAGTCACTCTCGGACAGCCTGTGCTCCCCGGCCGCTGAGTCGGCGAAACCCACTGGCCACTGGCCACCGGTTTACAGGAACCCTCCTCCCGGGGGCAGAAATGGGACCTGAAACTGCCCAAGGCAGCGGGATGGGGGCGGTGGGGACAGAGGGGGGGCCGCCTGCCCGGCCCTGGGAGGGGACCGCAAGGGGAAGCCCTTCCGCCTCTGGGAATGGAACTTCTGCTTTGGACGGAGAGCAGCGGGCTCCACTCCTGGCCCCACTGCTGCCCGGCCCCACGGCATCCAGGACCCCAGGACCCCAGGTGAGCACAGCCCAGCACCCGGGGGATGGGGCAGCGTGGCCTCGGAGCCGCAGGGGTCTGACGGTGCGGAGGCAGGGCCCAAGGCGGCCTGGGGCTCTCTGGGGTGAGCCGGGAGTCTGTGGCAGCCCTCTTACGTGCTGGTCACCTCGGGCCAGTCTCCTAACCTCCCTCAGCCCGAGACACCCTCCGGGGAGCACAGAGCCCTTCGGGGTGCAGCAAGCCTTAGAGGTCAGCTCGGTGGCCACCTTGGCCGCAAACACAGCAGCGGAGCAGAGGCGGGACGTGAACTGGGTCCCCTCTGCCGGTCCAGCACTGACGTCCCAAACCCTGCTTCTCCCAGCTTCCTGCCCCCTGGTGGGTCTCTCAGCTGGACTCTGGAGGAAATCCCTTGACCGGCGGGGAGCTGGGATTCGCTGTTCCTTACGGTGAGCTCAGTAACAGGGGAGAGGCCGGGAGCTTCCCAAGATCTTTTCTCTTCTGGGTGCTATCAAGTCCAATCCAGAAATCAACCTTGCCAAAGAGGCTCAGAGAGGTTAAAGCACTGCCCAGGGTCACACAGCAGAGAGGGAGTTCAAATTCAAGTTCCTGACTCCAAGTTGGGGGAAGGAACTGTTGGGACTGGGAGGAGATAGAAGGGTAAACTGTGGTGGGAAGAAGTGATTTTCTGGAGGCCCCTAATAGCGGCAGAAGCGACCTGAACCTGCCGGGCTGTTCTCCATACAACAAAACAGGCCCTGAGCATCCAGCGACTGCCTGCTGCCTACCTGCTGATAAAAGCCACCTTCCTCTGCCCCTTACACATGGCCAGCACCACTCTTAGCAAGTCCTGTGCAAGAGTCCTTTCATCAGACTGTCTGGCTCCTATTTCTTAAGTGGCCTCTTAAGATCCAGCGTAGGTAGGTTCAAATCCCAGCCAATGTGAAAGCTGTGTGACCTTTGTTGGGTGCTTGCCCTCTCTGATCCCCAGTTCCTCATCCGTAAATGAGAAAGCAAAAGTGCTTCCTCAGGGGGCTGTCATGAGAATTAAACTAAATGAGACCATGACACCTCATGCGTTTGGCTTAGAGCCTGGTCCCTGCTAAGTGCCCAACTTGATAAGTTGTCAAACTGGCATTTTGTAGAACTCCCAGCAAGAGTGAGAACTGAGGCTTTCTCAGAGACGAGCAGGGTCTGCCCCCAGGCCACCCCGCCGTCCCTGGCGAGTCGGGGCCTCGCTCCTCACTCCTGAGACGCAGCTTCCTATGCGCCTCTGGGTGCTGGGGGCTCAGTGGACACGCCGAAGCAGCAAGTCCAAACGGGAGCCCCGAGCCCCCGGTTCCTGCCACCCGTGGTCCTGTGGCGGCCCGGGAGGCCGGCAGGGCTGCTCTGCTGTCCCGGCCCCTGTGGGCGGGGGGCAGTGAGGGAGGGCTTCCTGGAGGAGGAGGCTCCCCCCAAGGGCTGAGGGGCGGGGAGGACTCCGACCTGGGGAAGGTGGACGGGGCAGGTGCCGTCACGGAGCCGGTGCGTTAGAGCCCTGCACAGAGTCGCCACCGCAGGGATGTGAGGACTCGTGAAGGCTCCCCAAAAAGCTAAGCCCACAGTCGTGGCCACCCACGGCCAGCTCAGCACCCAGAATTGAAAGCTCCCCAGAGGCGTGGGAGGCCGAGGCAGGAGGATCGTGAGTTCAGAGCCGGCCTTAGCCACCTAGTGAGGTCCTATCAACCCAGCGAGACCCTGTCTCTAATAAAATGTTAAAAAGGCTGGGGATGTGGCTCATTGGTTGAGCACCCCTGGGTTCAGTCCCCAGTACCCCCCTAAAAAAAAGCAGGTCCTCAAATCTTTGTGAGGAACGATGGTGGCAGCATTGTTCACAATAGCCAAGAGGTGGCAGCTTCCCAAATATCCATGAGAGAGGAGTGGAGAAGCCGACCGGGGTCCATCCACACGGTGGAATATTATTCTGCCCATAAAAGCGAACCAAGCCCTG